TGGCTGTTGTTATTGTCTTATCTATTCTGGTATGTGTAAGAAAATACATGTGAAATCACATGCCGGTATTTTGGCTCACACGTTAAGCAGTACAAAAATGAAAAACTTAATATTAACATCATTTGTCATCAATAGTATTTAATGTTTGTCAGTAACCTTTAGTGGAAGCTTTCATTACAGTTTCCAAGAGAACAAAGAGCATGTTTGGTGACAGGGCATGTGCATCTTTCAGCTGAGATGTTAAACTCATCTGACAGATGCACCTCTAACCACATGTACCCTAATTACTTTGTCATTAAAAAATCCTGAATCATTGGTCAAAAAAATTGGCACCGTTCAAAAGATTTCAGGTGTTAATCATAGTGTCCTGACTACATTCCACTTTGGGTTCACACCATCTGATCTGCCCAAATGTTTTGCCCTTAGTTGGTGTAGTAATTTCCCACATTTTTCTACCTGATGTGCTTTATATTGCGGCTGCTGTTCATAATGGCTGCCATGAGTCACAGAGGTGAGTACTTCTACTTAAGTGATGGATGAAGTGGATCCTGTCATATATTTAAAATGCTTTAGGATACATTGAAATGAAAAGCACTATATACACATAAACTGCTATTAGCTATTCTAATTAGTTACGGTGTGCCAATACAGTTGCTTGGAGCTGCATTATTTCTTGTTAAATACATAAGACATATTATTTACTGTACCTGTATTACTTTTACGTCAGGCATCGGGTATTATTATTGCATCTTGATACTCTAGGAACAGTATATCATGTCACACGGTAAAATATCATAATGTATCAGTATTTTTCTGAACCCCTTGCCCCTTATATATATTTGCATGTGTGAGTTATTATTTGGATCATGTAATTGTTCAGCATCACAGAATATTTTGAAATTATAATAACAAGCAGGTCAGAAAACATAGTACAAGACCAGCAGCATAAACATATGCTGATATGCACCATGGGCAAGAATGCAGCTGCTGCTGACATAATCCTTGTGCAAGGACTTAGCCTTTTTAAAGCAGCCCAGTCCATTTTTGTTTTGTTCGCAAGACCAAAAAGGCTGTTTTAAAGAATTAGTTGACAGCCTGCTCATTAAGGTTCCATGGTTAAACAGACAGGAACTTCAAAGTCAGTCAGCAAGATCTACTCTGATAGCTGCAATAGGAGTGATTTTATTCTTTTATACAGTATTCGATCAGGTGTTTTGTGACTTTTGTATAAACGTGGCTCAGTAGATTTCGGAAGATACAAACTATGACAGTGTAAATCTGATAAAGAATTATGAATACTTTATTGATAAATTTGGCTTTAACCTGATTCATCTGAAGGATGACTGGTTGCATGGATGAGTAGGTTTGAATCTTCTTACAATTAACAAAAGGGTCGGCGCATTCACTGTGGCACTGGGGATGGTGGAAGGGTGTTAGCATGATAAACACTGCAACATAATGGTCTAAAGGCGCGTGTTTATACTCTAAAGAGCCTGTGATTGGTGAGAACTAGGGTTTGTCCTTCGGTTGAACTTTTGTTAGGAATTCCAAATATCACATAACAAGAACCTGTCTTGCCTAGTTTGCTGAAAAAGAATCTTATGCTTACAGATTGCATACGGGATCAATCTATAATGTGGATTGATGGTGAACAGGGCAAAGTCCCTTTTTTATCAAGTAAAGCTGAGGTGTTCATCTTAAACACAATGTTCCAGATTTTTGTGGTCTAGCCAGCTCTCAGCTCTCAGATTAACTTACATTCCGATATGTCTATATATGTATTGTATCTTTGGAATATACAACAAACACTAACAGACATATAGTTCTAGTTTTAAATATAAGACTGTATTTGTCACTGAATTTACCTTTCCTATTCACACCAAAGAAAAGTTTGATAAAGTATTGGATATTGGCTAAATAACAAGAAGCAAATATTAGATTTACATTATATTAGATTACAGTTGATAAATGTCCCATCACACTGGATGCATGTTGCTAACATCTAATCCTGGATAGAGTGAAGCAGTTGACAATTGCATTATATATCTTTGTGTGTGATTTGCCAGTTTCTTTTATTTGTGAAGAGGCATTGACTCTGCATTGTCCTTGTGCATTGTCTTTTTAATAATGTGGCTGTTAGCTGGGACAACACACAAGAAACTCATATCATTAATAACTGTCCTGGTTGCCCTAACAATTAATTGTTTTCACCAGAGTCTGAAAAACACAATTAATTTAAACCATCTGACTGCATTTCACTTGTGATACTGTCAGGAATATCAAATGAGGTACAAATACGCCCGTAAACTGTTAAAGGTGACAGAACAGAATCAGCTACAGTATGTAACTTTAACAAATTTATAAATCAGGGAAATCTCTGACTACAGGTGCCCTTCTAGCCTTCCATTGTTGAAATATCACAGTTATGTTCCTGACTTTTAAAGGGCAGGAAAACATGACTGGGCAGAATACTCTATACTTGTGAGACTTGTTCATATGTATACTCAGAGGCCCATGATAATTCTGGCATTAAAATGTCTTTCAAAATGGTGATTGAATAAAGAAATAAGTATTCTAATTAATATTCCATGACTGTATTTTCTAAAACAGTAAAGACAGCAAGTATAACAACTAAATGCACAATATAAACATATATAATCTAAATCTAACATTTTAATTGTAATGTTTTGTCAGGATTAACAGTTTATGTTGTGTTCAGGTTACATTGGGAGCAGAATTGTAGAACTTTTACAGGTTTTATTATCAAATAATTAACATAATTTATGAGAGATTTTGCCCTTTATTAACAGCAAATATATAGAAAAATATATAAACAGAAATGAGACCAATAAACATTTACAGTATTCTTTATTATTTTTTACAGTCAGTATATTAAAACAATCTTAACGTCATAGAGTATCAGTTGGATGCTATCACTGATAATATTATATCAAAGTAAATATATGTATAAGAAAACAAGAACATTTTTCTGGAGTTATGGATTGTGAAAATTTTAAATAGATTTATTGAAAGAGATTGTACATAATCTGAGGTAAAATTTGTTAATTGGAGAAAGTAATATCTTCAGGAAAACATTATGTCAGACAGTAATATGCCACATGCTTTGTATATATGCCTTCCTCATCTGTGAATAAAAATTCACAGACCAGAGTGGTTCAAAGGGAAAGTGAAGTGTTCCACTTTAGGTTTTACATAAAATTGGCTACAGATCAGTGGCATGAGTGTAGTTCTGTAATGGATACTACAGTATAAGCAATGAGGTGAATCTGCAGTGGCACTGTCATTAAGTACATTTTATGAATGACAAAATGTAATCCTACAGAAGATACTGTTTCCCCCGATAACAATTCAGAGTTACTCTGTAGGCAGTAGTGTACAGAACTAGCTTTGTCATCCAGAAAATGTGTTAGAAAAGAAAAACAAACACCAAAACCACCCAAAAACACGCCACACAGTAAACAGAATTAAGAATTCAATGTTTTACCACAAGCATTAAAATGAAACAAAAAAGCTTCAGTTTTAAAAAAAGAGAGCTAGCTGTTAACATTGCTCAGACATTGGAATTTTTCACTGGCATAGCTATATGATTCAGGAGCCTTATGTACTCTTCATGATAACTTTGATGTAACTCAGGCTTTACAGCTGTGAAGCTCACTAAAGGAAAGAGGAGATAGTTTGTCTCTTCAGATCCCTCCACTCTGTTTATTTTGTCATTGTTTGTTTTTCAGCCTTATTTTCGTATGTGTCTCCTACGTCCCAGAATCAGGCAGACAGGTTGTTGTAGCAAGATCTCCCAGCATTTAAATCATGTTGACTTTACTGTTGAAAACTCAGATGGGATGCTTTGCACGACAATGCAATTCGGAAGGATCAGGGTCAGCAAAACTGTAGTTATGAATTGAAAGGATGGAGGTGATGATTTCTTTTTATTTCACCCTGAAATCTTACTGTAGTAGATTCATGTTTAATGAGATGTTTTTTTTTCTTTATACTATAAAAGTTTGTAAAGGTAGACAACATACAGTACAGTCAGAGTATATTTATTGCTTGTTTTATAAAGACAGATGGTAGAAAATTATCATGAAGGACTGAAGGGACAAAATAAGTGGAAAAATATTTTTTGCACTCTTCATGAGTTACTTATTGAGAACATTTGGCATATGAAATGGAATGTGTTTGGTATGACTTGCAGCTGGATGAGAACATCACATGGCTGTGGTGGTATATTAGCTTGCTCTGTTTGGCCTGTCTTGTTAAATATGCTGTATTAGTATCTGATTTGTGCACAGTTGTGCATGAGGCAGCAGAAAAACACCTGTCCATGTCCACCTTTTTTGAAAAACTATATTAATCACTATGTTCACTTAGTGATTCTGCTTGTAACAGTAAATGAAAAAGAAAAGAAAAAGTAAAATGTAAATATCCAGAAAAGTTGAAAATGTGCAAGGTAACATTACAAATTCTATACAGTATATAGAGTTAATAGAAAGAATATAACAAGAGGAGTGTTCTTTTTTTAATGCGAGATGTTATACCTGCCCTAATCAACACATTTTCGAACATGTAGACCTTAATAACAGGAACACCCCAAGAAAACAAAGGAACGTTTTTGTCTTGTACTTGGATTCTTTGTTGCAGTTGGATTGGGTTGCCAATGACTTTAATTTATTGTGGAGAGCTTTTCTAGGTTCCACATACTGTATATTTAAAAAATGAAAAGTGTAATTTGCTTGCATAAAAGCAAATCTCTTGGTATATCTATAATACTTGTATCGGTGGCCACTTAAAGACTTGAATTAAATGCTTCCATTGGTAACTGGGTCCATTGTTTGTTTTGCAAATGAGATTGAAGGTGTACTTTGTGCAGCTTCTTGAAGGAAGGTTCACACTCACATTATATACATGACATGTTTCCAAGTTTTTTTACTTGTTACAAAAAATGTTGCATCCTTTCACTTTTGTTGTTGTATTTTTTGCAGGTTTGCAGTTTGATCAACAGTTTTCAAATACTGGGTGTATCTGAAGTGCCAAAGGTGCTGTGAAGCAAACATCTGTTTTGGCTCAACGAGAAGACCTCGTTCTGGTGCCGGATCTTTCTGCAGGGGCCATGTGGACTTTACAGCTGGTCCTTTTCTCTTTCCTCTTCACACCAACAGCACATGGTAAGCGGCTTTGCTAAACCCTACCCTCATGATACTGCATATCTCCTCACAGCACACAGGCCTCTGAGTATCTATAACCTGTGTAAATGGATTTTTATAAGTATACAGTAGTTTGTTTCATTCTTATAACCTTGTCTCAGTTATTACTTTAGGAAAATAAAAGTATATAAGCACATAAACTTAGATTAGAGGAAATTACTGTCTGGTAATTTTCTAATACTGCGAAGCAGGGTTTAGGTATAATCAACACCGCATACTAATTTAGCATTGCAAGGCATTTAATTATGATTTTAAAGAATTTTTTTTGTTTTATCCTTGCATCCTGCTATTTAAATTTCTGATTGATTTTAAACAATATATTGCAATTGAAATTTAATTTAGTTTGCAACACTGCCTAGAACTTGTGTAATGTGTAGAATTTAAATTTTAAAGAGTATAGATATTTTCTAAAATGGCAACACTAAAACATTTAGATCTTTCTATATCAGTTGCATGTGATGTGTCAGAAACCAATTTAGAGATTTACTTATTGATAGATGACCATTTTATGTATCTTGATTAGTACAAATCAAGTAATTGTAAGTAATTAAGTACAATATTGGTTTCCTTATTTGAATTTATACTAAGTATTCAAAACACACTTATCATCTATAATCATAATTATGAATATGTTTCAATTATCTTGAGAAAGTGGAAAAGACTTCAAAGCTTTTTATTCAAAATGGGCTCTACATTTTTTCCAAGTATACAAAAATACAGCTTATTTGTAAGACTATTTCACCTTTCCATGCAAGCATTCTTACTTGCTGTATTTCATGCTTGTAAACATTCTAATTTACTTTCAGATAAACTGAGATAAACTTACTTTCAGATAAACATTTGCGTTTGTTAAAATAATTGAACATAAATCCTGAGAGTTTTATTTTACTCTGGTACTTTAGACTTGAAGTGACTTAACTGATTTAGCCTTTCAGGTATATGGTTGAAATATACTGTGCCTATAAAACTAAAAAATAAAATGTCCATATTATAATTCATGAACCCTCCATCAATTTGAATAGTGCATTGTTATAGATCCTAGTGGGTCCTTGAGGAGAAACCATGGGTTATTTTGCTTGAAATATATTTAAATATTACTTTTGAACTATTAACAAATTGCATGATTAAAAAGTATGTAAATTGTGAATGTGTTAATTTGTTAAATACTGTATGTGCTTTGGAGATGAGCACAGCAGTGGTATATAGAAAAGAAAATTATTTTTCTATATTAAATGTGACTGTCCTGAATGTTGTCTTTGATGCATGGTGAGAATCCTATTAAGGTATCCTGTCAGTCATTTTCTTAAAGAAAAAAAAAATGTTCTTATTACAGTACCAAGAAGAAAGCCTTAGACAAAAGCTTTCCAAAACTTGAAAACACACTAATGTGTACCCTTTTCATTTCATAAGATCATTTTTTTTTGCCAAGTTACACTGTTACCGAAACGTCATTCAGGTTACTGTATTTGCTGTATATGAATTCTGATATTCACAGAATCTTGAGGTTGATGAACGTTATGAATGATATATGTACGAACAAGAATCATGCTAGACTGTCATGATCTAGAGTTTTGCAAGTGAAAAACCATTATGTTATGCTGGAACAGGTTAAAAGGTAAGCATGGAAAATGTTGCATTTATTAACCAACCATAAATATAAGAAGTATTAACTGTGTCATTTCCTTTCAATGATTAATCTCCCCATTATGGACACCTAGCCATTTAATATCTTTCTGCAAATAATTAGTAGTACTTAATAGTATTTAAATGTTCCTAAATACTGGCCTCTAGCAGGATTGTGTGTAATGCACTCAGAATTGTGGTACATATAAATGGCAGAATACGTTTTCGATTAGGGTGTTTAAGTATTAGAACCTTACAGTTGGAACAACCATGCATAATAATAATAATATGCAGTTTTTAGTAAGTAGCTTTTTATCATTCATTCATTGTTTTTTCACATTATTCATTGATAAAGCTTAGGTTTTATTTGGATTTCTGACTTCAGGGAATTGAAAATGTACATAAAGACATGAGCCAGATAATGGTCATATTCTCTTTGTAGACATTATTTTTTCTTGTTTTAATATTGCTGTAAGCGTAATCAAACAGAAGGAATTCCCACACCCGCTTTTGTACAGCATGTCTAATGTTATTTACAACTGTATACATGCTATACAACCAAGAAGTATATGATAACACTCGGTGAAATTATAACCCATTTTACTTTTAACAGACAAAAATGAAGGCACCCAGACACGACTAATCTTTTAATTGATTAAAAGCTGTAATTAAAACTGTAAGACACTGTAAAACCATGATCGCATTTCTTTCTAGTCATGTGGCTAGGTTTCTTAAACCAATAACACATGTTTTGGTGGTAGATGATCCTACTCAGGTGAAAAATTGTTTCATTTTTGGTGGCTTGCTGTTTAATCCACTCTGAATTACTTTCAGCATGCTGCATCTGCTTCATAGATTTATGGATGAAAATGATTAATTATGAAAGTTATGTTAAGTTATGAAAGAATCTCTCATTCAAACAAATGTCTACTAAGCCATTAGTGCTGCTTTTCCTGATGGCCACATTTGCAACTGGTTGTTAAAATGATTGTGGTAACTTCATTGGTGGTGGCAGATATGAAATTTACTTCTTTTGCAATCTGCTCCAATAAAGGAAATTGTTTAATCATGAAACATTTATGAAACAAGGGTGTCTGTAGACTTAGTATTAATTTGTCAAGGTGAGTATTAATAAAAACAGTAGTTATTACAGTGCCCTAGCATTGTTTCTTTCTATACATAATTCTATAAATTGATTCCCTTTGATGAGCAGGTGAAAACTTGTTAAACCATGTTCATTCAGCCTTATCTATATATGTACTGAAAGGTTTTAAATCCTAATCCAAAACTAAGATTTTCCTTGGACTGCAGTATTTCCTTGGGACCTTCTCCTGATGCTTCATCTAGCTGCATTGTTTCCCTTCTGGGCTGCAGTGTAGAATAGACATCTGAGGGTCTGTAAGCATATCTTCAGTTGCACAAAACCAGTTCCAGTGCACAATGAGGTTACCTGCCAGTTGACACTTCCAGGTGAAATAAATAGGGGAATTAATGCTTAATGAAAGGACAGCAATATAACAACGCTGCAAGACATAATTATGTTTAATAAAATGCAATATTTACTTCACAAGTGATAATCGTATAAATTAAGGTGCCTGGCAAAAGTATTCACCCCTTTCCAGATCATTTTGATAATTATTCAAAACATAATAATCCAGTTAAACTGTGCATGGTATGAGGGTGTGTAAGCAAAACACAGAATAGCAAAGAACATGTACAAAGTATTCAGCATTCAAAGTCAATACATTGGCAGCAATTACCACTGTCAGTATTTTTGGATAGGATTCTACCAGCTTAGCATTGTAGGATGGTGTAATTTATTATATCCCTCCTGGCAAAATTGCTGTAGCTCTGACAAGTTAGGGATAGTTAATGGACTGCAGTCATCAAGTCTTGGCATAAATTTTCCATAGGACTGAACTCAGGAATTTGATGGGGCCAGCCAAGGACATGCACTCTTTTCTTAACAGACCATAAAGGTGTGACTTTAGCCTCACGTTTCATGTCATTGTCCTCCTGAAACGACAATTTTCAACCCAGCTTTAGATTCTTGGGTAACTCAAGCAGGTTTTTCTCCAGGATTGGCCTGTAGTTTGCACTACCCATCCGTTTTCTAAATGCTTACTCTTGGTATGGGTCACAGTGGTAACAGGTGGAGCATGGCAAATCAGACTTCCCTTTCCCCATCCACTTTTCCTTTAATCTTGCCTAGTGCACCAGTCCCTGCTGATGAGAAACGTCAGAAGCATCCATGCTATGATACTGCCACCACTGTGTTTGTGAGTTGGAGTGGTACTGTTTGGGTAATTAACTATTTTGGACTTGCTCTAATTATAGGCCTGAATGTTTGAACAGTGACTCCCATCTCAGACACAGACCTTAGATCTTTCACTGTTGTCTTCACAATCACGTCTTTAACCTGTTTCCTGCTTGACTAGCTGTTTACCCTAATTTTCAAACCATTGATCAAGTGGCATTTCAAACCATTCTTTTGTACCTGAACAGATTTAGAAACTGATGTAGCAAAGCAGTGGCGTATTAATACAATTGAGAATTTTCCATTTTTGTTTAAAATCTCATTTGCATTCTGTTAACTTTTTAGCATTTTATAATTTGGAGTAAATAATCCTGTTTGAAAGTGCCATGATTGCTCATGAACTCAAACAGCAACAATGTCTGGAAATTCTGTAGGGAAATAATTATTTTGCAAGGCCCTGTACAACATAATGTACTTTTGCAGGACAATAATGAGGCTTGATCCAAGTAAGTTAGGATTATCTGCATTCTCTCTGGACCCACATGAGGTGACTGAGCACCAAATGTTTATAGAAAAATCACATATATTGTGAGTACAGAAATATCAAAATATATTTTCTGAAACTAAGTATTATTGCACTGCTGTTGACTTTAGAACTTTATACAGTATTTTTTTTAACCTTTATTGATATCATTTTTCAACAGATATTCCCATCATAAAATAAACAAGCCTTTACTTTCCGATCCAAGTGGAAAACATTTGTGTCGCAAAAATTATATTATATATTATATGATATACATATATTTGGAGACCTTCTATAAAGAATGTATCCATAGCAAAAAACAGACAGTTCATTTTAACCCTAAACAAATTATGGCTGAATTTACAGAAATTGCTACTGTACTTAGCAATTTTGCATCATATAACAAAGATACAAACAGCTAAATTAATACATAGGCAGGTGAAATATACAGTCTAAATTATTTTTAATTCAAAGGATAGATAAAAAGATCACGTTAACCATATTTTAATAACAGCTTCCATTTCTTTGTCCCAAATTCAATATGGAAAAAGCATTCCA